TCTCTCTCTCTCTCTCTCTCTGTCGGGAGAGTGAAATGCAAAAATCGAAATTAAACAGGAGACGCGTGTGTCTCTCGGCGAAGTAACTGTGATCGAACATATCACCGGAAATATCGTAATCCGTGTCGCGATGATTATCGCGATGATTGTCGCGACATCCTCGTCGTGAGCTGCTTCTCATAATATTACATCGTATTATGGGAAAAATCGTAGATCTTTTTCGACGCGAATTTCTCTCCGACACTCGTCCGTCTTAGAGATTCGCTCCCTCCCCCTCTCCGATAGACTTGTAAAGTTTATATCTTAATGGTTCTAAGACGCCTTCTAGATACGAAAAATCTCCGAGCGTTCAACTGTCGGAAATAGACTATCAAATCTGTCGGTCGCCATAGGCTTAGACTTAACTCGAGGGAAACGTTGCCCTCCCTCGGACGAGGGAGAACGATGAAACCCCGCGTCTTCGGCGCGAAGGACGAAAACGGCCCGCGAGGGAGAAAAGTAGCGAAAGCACTGACACAGTGAAAGTAATATACGTAAAGCAGTAAGTCACTATTGTATAATGCGCCAATACATGCGTTCCATTTTCTACCGTCGAGACTGTAATACTCGCTCTCTAAAGGTGCACGCTCTCTGCAGGGTAAACGAAAATATACCTTAGGTGATAAGCGGTGATAAGAGGAACGAAAGCGGATTTTTGCACGCGCGCTTACAAAATCGAAATCGAATTTCGATTGTGAGATCGTCAATTTACAAGTAGTGAGCGTGTAGGAGTGTGTATGTATGTATGTGTGTGTGTGTGTGTGTATGTATATCTACCAACCCCGGTGAGAGGAAAACCGACGACGCTATCAGAAAAAGAATCGAAATTATACTTAGCATGCAACTTAAATCTCGAAGATCTTGTTACGAAATTGTCGAAATCCGCTCAATCTTTCGTGACGTTTCACTTCCATCGTGTTGTTTCTCTCGACATCACGTATGTTACGCGATTACTTCACACAGAATCGATATTATTCTTTCCTCTCCCGACAAATAACGTGCACACGTCTCCGCGATTTATTTCCCCTTGACGTAACGTTCATATTATAGAGGAAGCTCTGTTCTGATCCCTTCATGTAATTTTACTGTTTTTTTTTTCTTTCGCTTGCATCCGCAAGTCCGATAAAACACATAATATAGTTTAACATAATATAATTTCAATCGACATCAGACTTAGATTGAGAAAGACAGGTATGTTGTAATAGTAGAAGCGCGAAGCATTTTTTGTAGGCGAAAATAAGAGCAATATCACAATACAGAGGCATACCGCGAGAATCACGTGACATCATTGTTGACTATTAATTATTCCTAATATGTTACATCGTTGACGATGAATAGTGTCTAATTATTCCTACTTAGGAAAATTTTAAATTAGTCTTAAAACACAAAGAGAGAGAGAAATATATATATATATATGTGTATATTAAATCTTGTTATCAGAAGCGTTTATCGGAGATTATATTGGTATTTTTAGCGAAAATATATATGTTAAACGAAACAACACTGGTTGATTGTTGAACTTTACGCACGCCGCGAAAACATTGTGCCATTATCGCGACACCGAACACGTTGCCTCGCTCCGACACTTGTTATCAGACTATTTAATATTGCAATACGAGCAAGAAAAACATAGGACAATTGAAAGATCATCGGGGAAAGCCTATCATTAGAAGTAAGACAAGTAGAAGCATAAAAACGAGCGTTGCGCTAATAGCCTGGCGATGCAAGTCGTAGATTAGTAACGATCTCACGGAAGAGGAACAAATGTAACGTACATCAAACATTTAAATATACCGTTTTATATATAAACAAAATGCAGAGTACTTCTTTCGGAGATATGAACGATATTGAAAGTAAGATGCCGAACGATCGAGTAAGAAAGATATATCTTTGTCGGTCGATTCTATCTCAAAACATCGAAAAGAATCGACTGACTTTTAAGCTCTTCATAATAAATCCATACCTAAGAAGTTATTAGTAGCAAAATATAATACTCATCACGTTTGCGGATTTGCCGTTTCGCAATAATTGAAGATACAAAGTCCTCCAACATCCGTTGTTCGTTAGGTTTGAAAACGGAAAGAAGCTCTACGAGCGACCATATTGGAAATACTCGCTCAGAAAGTTTCTCGATGCGCCCTCTATAGGATCGAGTATCACTTATGATAGACTTCAGTACCGTCAGAGAGAAGCATGAGAACTGCTACCAGCCTGATTTCAATGGCCAGAGCTTGGCGTATTTTCGTGGCGCCATCTAACAAAGTGCGCCTTTACTACGTTTGTTAGGCGCATTTTCGCGGTGGTAACGATAAAATCAAGCTGGTGGCCGCTCTCAGGGGATACTTCTCTTTGGGGTACTATTCCGTACACGCTTACCGACAATTGTCGGATCGGTAGGCATCGTTGCGTACTTTTCTATAGTATAAAAAACGACAGTTGTCGGTAAGCGTGTACGGAATAGTACCCCTGGTACTGTCGGTCACCTTTGTATCTGTGGTTCGTATCCGTGCTACTGCAACAAAATTATTTCAGTTGATCGATGTGTACGGTGGCGGCTCGTAGCGGAGACTTATTCCCATATTCATAGTCAGGTCTTATATTTAAGGTCTCCTTAAGATCATCTTCAGATACTCTACGGATCTTTTTATTGGCCACAGACTATCTGAAAATAAACTTAAGGAAGCCTTAAATATAAGACCTGACTATGAATACGGACATTAAGAATTAAAATCGACAGAAATAATGGGTCTAAAGTATTATTAAACTCCTTAAGCTAAGACTCCATACATACGATGAGCTCCGGCCACAGATGTCTATACTAATGCCCAATTTCTCCACCTCCGGTTAACTTTATCTGTCGGATAAATGTCAACCGTGATTGGTTAATCTTGCCAACCATAAATATGATTGGTGAATTCCAATAGAATAACTGACAGATAAAGTTAGCCGGAGGTGAAGAAATTGGGCATAAATCCGGCTTAACCGCCGTTACGTTAAGACGTATCTGAACAAATTCAGATTTTTAAAATATTGCCTTTTGGAATCTGCCAAGGCCTTATTCACTCATACCTATCTACATAACCCAGCAATCACAATGTTACATGTAACGTACATGTTAGTTGTAATTTCCTACTCAACAATATAACTGTCATATAACATGCATGTTATGTAACAGTTATATTGTTGAGTAGGAAATTACAACTAACATATACGTTACATGTAACATTGTGATTGCTGGGTTATGTAGATAGGTATGAGTGAATAAGGCCTTGGCAGATTCCAAAAGGCAATATTTTAAAAATCTGAATTTGTTCAGATACGTCTTAACGTAACGGCGGTTAAGCCGGATTTATGCCCAATTTCTTCACCTCCGGCTAACTTTATCTGTCAGTTATTCTATTGGAATTCACCAATCATATTTATGGTTGGCAAGATTAACCAATCACGGTTGACATTTATCCGACAGATAAAGTTAACCGGAGGTGGAGAAATTGGGCATTAGTATAGACATCTGTGGCCGGAGCTCATCGTATGTATGGAGTCTTAGCTTAAGGAGTTTAATAATACTTTAGACCCATTATTTCTGTCGATTTTAATTCTTAATGTCCGTATTCATAGTCAGGTCTTATATTTAAGGCTTCCTTAAGTTTATTTTCAGATAGTCTGTGGCCAATAAAAAGATCCGTAGAGTATCTGAAGATGATCTTAAGGAGACCTTAAATATAAGACCTGACTATGAATATGGGAATAAGTCTCCGCTACGAGCCGCCACCGTGTGTTGAAGGACCTACTCTCAAAGGCCTGTATACTATTCGCAGACGGACGGACGGGTATCTATACTAAATTAGGATTGCATTCCAAAACATCTTTTTTGAGGAAAATTTTACTCTTAAATCTATTAGCGTGTTCGACTGGTCCTGGGTTAATCGCTCCGAGAGTCTCTACTAGCCAATCATAAAGTTTATAAGTACTTGTTCGACCAATAAACGTAAGCTGAATAACCCAGAGTGGGTTAATCCAGAGCCGGTCGAACATGCTAAATAGTTCATATTACATACACTATAGATTTAAGAGTAAAATTTTCCTCGAAAAGGACGTTTTGGAATGCAACCTAGATTGCTAACAAGAGCTTCGAAATGTGTCGCGTAAGGTTTCCGGTTGCATGCGAGAAAATGGCGGCGGTCCTGTGTGTGTGACGTTGTGTGTGTGACGTGTCACTTGTGTGAGTACTTACAACGACAATATGAATCAGCGTGGCCATTAAATTACTGTTGTAAAACCAAAAATGCCAACATCTTATTGCATCAAAAAATGTCGTAACAAAAAAATAGATGGTATTGGATGTTATTTGCTCTGCTCATTTTCAACAAAAGAATTTTATGACTAAACGTATTGAAAATATGTGGCAGTAGCGGCCATTTTCTCGCATGCATCGGAAACTCTATCGGACAAAAACTATTATATTCTTTTAGATAGCTTGTTAGCAATCTAGTTTAGACATCTGGTCGTATGTCACCAATTCTGAGTTCATTTTTAGATTCAAAAAGAATTCTTTTAACTGAACTGAACTCTGAAGAATTCTTTTTGCATTTGAAAATGAACTCAGAATTGGTGACATACGACTAAATTCTTTTTGAATTCTATGTGGATATGCTATCTGGGTATCGTAGAATGTTAATTATGTTTATTTGATTTTTTATTCTACTTTAATCCATTAGTTTAATTAATTATTTATAGTATATATTTATATTAATATATATAATGCACATCAGGCGTATTTTTTATTTACGCGATGTAACTCGACAAACTTTATACAAAATTTTAGCAATTAAAATTGAGCAGATTACAGAGAATTGTAACTTACGACAGCTTATTAATGTTGTTGATGAAGGAAAATAATTTCACGTCAACGTTTAAATATATGGTTTTATAGATGAAAACAGAAGGATACACTGTTTAATTATAATTGCTGCGTGGTATGTCGAACGTGTATCTTCTTAAGTATGTTCTCGCGATAATATACGGAACATACATCTATCTTTCGTCGCGCGCGCTTAATATATCTTTACGAATCATCGCAAAAAAATTAGACGATCCAATAAATTAAACAGCGCGATTAGGGGAGATATATAACAATATAAATTAAATAAACCTAATGAAATCTGATCTTCGGATGAATTATAACGTAATCATGTGCAAATGAATTTCTCTTTTGCGCTCATAGTGCCAGCTCGATTGTTCTCATTAGCGTATATGGTTTCTCTTTTTATTGACATAGTTATTATTAGCCCTATTTGCCACTACATATCAATTGTTACATGTAATAACTAATATGTCGAACAGGTTTTCCCAGTTAGCTCGTCAAATGAAAATCCCAAACGATTTCGCTCACAATTGACAGTAAATAATACAATATAATATAATACATATATATATATATCGTATATATATATAGGGAAAGATGCCATTATATTTAAAAAATGATATCTATCACGATCATTCGCTTCGATTAATCGTCGCGTCGCGTCGGTTTCTCTTTCGTTCCCATACAAAGAGTCGTGGACCAGCGAAAGAAACAACAGCACTCAACCGCCGAGGATCATCATTATTATCCACGGAGCGAGGAAAACTCGGTAAAGTATGGGATTCCGACTTGCTCGCGGAGTACACGAGACAACAGACCAGCCGAACGTCGAAGGGACAGGTGAAAGCCTCACGGGGGTTCGGACAGGACAGGTGAGAGGGGGACGCGGCTAGGAAGAGCGACGACGAGGAGAAGGATGAAGGGCGAGGAAAAGGAAGAGATCGAAACAAGTGTGGTGACGTGTGGCAGAGAGAAAGAGGGGGTGGAAACGTGGATTACGCGTGATCACCACTGAAGTAACTACTCTGCATCATAAACAGTTTGTCGATGGGATTGTGTATGGCCGCGTGCAGACTCTGCGACAGAGACGGGGTGTCATGCGACGACGAGCTGTGGTGGGAGTGCGAGGCACCTTGATGACTGCCATCCGCGCCGCCGCCGTCGTTCTCGCCGATGTCGAAGCCACCCTCCGTGCCGTCGAGGGACAAGTCGCTGCTGCAGAAACTCTCCCCCGAGTGTCCCGGATACGCGTCTGCAAAGGATGAGACGGAGATGATTACAGACGAGAAGACTCTTGGATTTTGTTATATCCGGAGTCGCACACGGAATCGCGCAAAACGAAAGAGCGGGCTGTTCGTTCGCGATGAAATCGTAATCTCGACTAGAAGAATACCCACCTGGGCTCAACTTTTACTGGGCTCAACAGTATATTTCATCGTTTTAGAAAAAAACTTATATACGGAGTGTCTGACAATTATTGACAAGTAGAGGGATCTTCTGTTCAATTTCATGAGTCCAACTCGCATACAAATGGTGTGTCAATAATTGTCAGACATCTTGCATACGTATGTTTTACGTACATGATATTTCTATTAGCTTACGTTACTCGTCTGAGAGCCTTACTGAAGGTTTACGGACAGAGAGAGAGAGAGACAGAGAGAGAGAGAGAGAAGCCCGGGAAATATACCGTTTCGTTTGATCCGCCGCGAAAGAAACGCGGCGTAAATCCTTTTGTGCCTAACATTCAAACGGCGGAGTATTGTAGCCGGGGGAAAGTACTAAAAAGTTTCAAAGCCCGGTATATATACTCTCGCGGAAAATATCACCGCCCCAGTGCGCCCTGTGGAGCGCTAAAAAAATATTTGCGTGCGTGGGCGTGTGACATATGCAGGATGTTCCGGAAAAAAAAGAAAATAAATAAAAGAACAGCGTATGTCAAAGCTCCCGTCTTTGATATGAAAAAAAGTGGCCGAAGTAAAGAGATTTTGTCTGTCGAAAAACTTTTTATAAAAATGTTCGCAAAATTCACGCGCGCACGCGCGGAGCAGCTGCGTGTGTAGCCGGCAGAACACTCTTCAATATACAGTATGAGACATTTTGTCAAAAATTTTCGTGCGCGACAAGCAGTGACTCTGCAATGACCCGGCAACGAAGTGGTCGATTAAAAAATTTTCTTTTTAATTTGCAAATTGTTCGGCTCATCGACTCGTCAATTCGCCGGAGCGGACGAACATCCTTGGGATATCAGTCGCGCGCGTGTTCGTCCCGCCGGTCGACATCGGTTGGTGAGTTTCTACGGTGAAGTAAAGGACTTACCGTCGGGCGAGTACGGGTTATTGGGGTTGAGCGGTTGGGTGGCTGAGGGGAAGCTAGAAGATTCCCCGTCGCGCATGTTCAGGGCGTTCAAGTAATGACCTGCGAACGAGATTAGACAATTGACATTGAACTCACTCGTTTAGCAAAAGCCCCATTAACCAGTCTTCGCGAGCGAGCGCGCACGAGACTCTACGCTAATTCTACAACGAATTTTGCGAACGATCACGCGAGGCGTACAGCGAGGCAAGAGAAGGCATCGCTCCAAAGTTCCGAGAGCCGAGTGAAGCCGGCAATGACGCGTGAAACCCCTCTCGTATTTTCGGGATCTCAGATGAGGATCTCAGGATCAGGATGAGAATCAGGTCGTGCACGAATCGAGAGAGTGAGCCACGATGACAATGCGGGAATAATTGGGGGGTGATAACGTGGAAGGGAAGCGCGCTTACTGTGATCGCTGTGCGGACTCTCAGTCCTCCGCTCTTCTTTCGGCTCCTTGTCGGATCCCGGCTCGGTCTTGGCTTTCCTCTGAAGCTTCTTCATCTTCGCCCTCTGATTCTGGAACCACACCTGGACCACGCGCACGCTGAGCCCGGTGTCCTTGGCGAGGGCCTCTCGCACTTTCCTGCAGGGCTTCGGCGACACTTCGAACGACGCCTTGAACTGACGCCGCTGTGCCGACGTGAGGATCGTCCGCGGCCGTTTCGGGCCCCGACGACCGTCCCGTGGTCGATTCTCGTCCAATAAGTCATCATCTGATATGAAACGATATAATTTGTACATACACGGAGAGAAGAAATCTAACTTTTTAATCTAAAATTATAGTTTTCTTAACTCCAACTATATTACTATCATTTTATTTATGTGTGTACAAATATCAACTTTCTTCTTCTTTCTCCTCCCTTATCTCTCGTCGTTTCCATATTCGTTGCGACTTTCAAATTTTTGACATCAGTATGTGCAGCTCGATTAAATAATTAAAAAAATAATAATTCAGTGCGGAGATTATTCGATCCATCCCTCTGTTATTTGTTACACGTATCATTTGCCGCGTCAAATTATTTTTGTCAGGAATCCAGCCGCGATTTAATTAAATTATTTATCCGTGGAAGTACTCAACGACATGTCGACACATGTTGAGACATGCCGGACGAGAATAAAGCTTAATCTACAATGTGTTTCCTGTCTTTTATTCTCTCTCTTTTTCTTAAAACCTGATCTACAATATTCTCTTTGCTTCCTGCTTCTTTCTCTTTATCTCTTTCTGACTCAAACCTTAAGCTTTAAGCCAGAAAAAGATAGAAGATAAGAAACAGAACGTAAAGAGCATATTGTAGATCAGGTTTAAAGCTTGATCTACAATGTGTTCTTTGCTTCTTGCTTCTTTCTCTTTATCTCTTTCTGACTCAGACTTTAAGCTTTAAGCCAGAAAAAGATAGAAGACAAGAAACAGAACGTAAAGAGCATATTGTAGATCAGGCTTAAAGCTTGATCTACAATGTGTTCTTTGCTTCTTGCTTCTTTCTCTTTATCTCTTTCTGACTCAGACTTTAAGCTTTAAGCCAGAAAAAGATAGAAGA